AGTTCATTAATAAAACTTGGACTTCCTCTTGTAACCCAAATTTGTCAAAATGATTCGAATTACTGCACATGCGCGTCCCGAAATAACGCGCAGGGTCTCAAAATAACGCACACCTGCACGTTATTATGTGCAAATACGGTATTTGAATATTCAGTGAATATTCAAATATACTATTCATCGAATCAGACCTCTAGCTATAAGTCAAAGTTCTAGGTCTCCTTGCAATGCCAAGCTGGAAGTAAAATAATCATCAGTAGTACACTCATATAATATAATTATATTGGAAAGCTTTGGTATCCATACTACAGTCAATTATACCAACTATGAGAGCATTGTATAAAGTAGGTGGTATACTGCAAATAACAACTGGAGATTTGATAAATCTGGCCGTACTGTATGGTATTAATACTTAGAGAGCTATATACACTAATATGGGAGCAAAAAGAGCGAAAAACTGCCAGAATGAACTAATTTGGGAGAATTATAAGCTTGTTGCAGAAAGTAGATAGGGAGTATAATAATACGAAAATAGGTAACAATAAAAAATCTTGTATAATAGTATGTAATTGAGGACTAATTAGAAAAGTTAAAATTGAGATATGAATTGTATTTCAGCTGCACTCCAAAAGGTAGCATGAGATACAAACACAATGGTAGTAGTCAATATTTACTAATTGAGAAAAAAAATTACAGAAAATAATTACATGGGTGAGACATGTAATGGTAAGTTGCTCCAACTTATCCTAGCTTAAAGTTGGCTTGAAATAGTTAACAGAAAAGTAATAAAGAGTATAATGCCACATTGGGTGACTAGTAATAGTAGTACAAATATAATTAGAAACTGTATATACAATTGTTCTGTAAAAAGGTGTTTATCATGACTAATAAAGTTTCTACATTGGCAATATAAAAAAAAATATATATTTTAGCAATTATTTTATCAAATTTATTTTAATTTTATATAATATTAAAATTAAAATAAAAAACTATTTAGCAAATTTAATTAAATAGTTGTTGAAATATTTTAGTTTAAAAATTAAAAAATTTTATTAAAAACAATTTGTTTTTTTTATTTACTTTTTCTAATATTTAGAAAATCATGCTCCTTATAATATGGCATATATTGAAAATTTTGATACACCTGAGCTTTGGTGGTTAACTTGTAAACAACCAGATAATTATATACAACAATTAGCATTAAAAATGTTTGCTATTGTTCCTCATCAAGTAGCATGTGAAAGAGTTTTTTTAACTTTAGATTGGATGATTGGGAAAAAAAGAACTAGGTAAAATTATAATAAAATTTATATTTTTAGCTATAATAATAATTTTATTTTATATTTTTTTTAGATTAGATATTAATCATCTTCAATCAATAGCACAAATTCATTCATTTTATATTACAAATATGAAATATGAGTTAAAATTTTCTAAAGAAAATTTTAATAAAGAAGAACTAGAAGCAATAGTTAATGAAATATCAGAAGCTTTAATTAATGATAGTAATCTTTTTGATGATAAAGAAAATTAAAATATAGAAGATGAAGATAATAGTTTTGATTTAGATAATGATGAAAGTAAAACCAATTTTAATGATCTGCTTATAGCAGAATTTATTAATTTAAATTTTTATAATAATAATGAAATTGAAAATAACTTACCTTTAAATAATCAACAACAATTAGAAACTGAAGAATATTTGGATTATAATTTAGATTTAGAAGTGCTTTTTAATAAAGAATTTCAAAATTAAAATAATTCTGTATTTTAATTTATTGTTTTTAACAAATAATTATAATTTTTTTCCTTTTGTAGATTTTTTTTATAATTATTAGTTAAGATATTGGAAATATTTACTATAATTTTTTTTTCTGTTGCAGGTTTTTTTATATTATAAAATATTGTTCAAAATATTATAGTTTAAATGTTTTTATTTAATATTTTTATTTTTTATTTTTATATATTTATATTTTATTTCTATTAAATTATTTTATAGATTTTTTATTTGTTAAATTATTAAATATTATTAACTAGATACTTGAATTGTTTGAAAGTATTAAAATAAAGTATACTTTAAAAAAAAATCTCATGGAAATGTTTGGTAAACTCTAAGATTATTCAATTTATTATTTAGAAAATCAACACTGTTCAATGATGTTTATTGGATAAATACACTTTTTATATGATAATTTTAATCAAAAATTTCTATTTTTTATATCTTATACAAACATCATAATAAACAGTACAAACATAAACCCCTGTTTAGAAAACTGACTCCATTCCAAACAATTCCTAACAATTTTAGAACAAACTTTTTTATATGGCATATTATATTATATTAACTGAGTGTTTAATTATATAATTGAATTTCTTTTCTTTAAACTAACTGAATTAAACTTGTTGATGAATTAATTGTTAGTAAATTAAGTATTATTAAAATAATGTGCTGGTAAAATAAACATGTTGATAGTCTGTAAAATAAACATGTTAGTATAGTTTTGTGTCTACAAAAGAAGCATCGATGAAGTAAACAGAACAGATTTAGCAAATAATATTAAGTTCACTTGATTAAATTAGTGCAAAATTAAGTTGCAATATAATATATAAGGGGTTTAAAATGATAATAATATTAATTGTTAATTATATAAACATGAATTGTTAAATGCACTGTTTAATTTGTCATTCATAATTTTAAATTTGATTTTTATCTCTTTAATAATATATTAATTTTGAAAGTCGGGTTAGGGTCCCATAGCCTAGTGGTTTAGGCGCCTAATCCTCCACAGACGAGATCAACGGTTTGATTACAGCTGGTGGTAATTAATTTAATTAATTATCTCTGTAACCTACGGGAGCTTTCGAATGCGAAACCCTGTGAC